GAGGAGGTGCCACCTAAAACCATAGAAACTTCATTTTCTAGTGAATAGTGTCTGGCTGTCCCTTGGGTACCCTATCAAGGGTGGTTCTTATCTGCCACTGCCGTTTCTTAACTCCAGCTTCCTTGTTCTAACCCCACTTGTGGTTGGTCTTGGGTCCAGTTCGTTTGGTTGCAGCCTTTTTGGCTTCTGGGTTGCTGTCAGTGCATGATTTGAAGAGAGCTGCTTGAACGGTTGTAGCTTTGATTGAAAGGACGTGATATTTGGAGAGGTTAAGTCAGATCTCTTTGAAAAATAGGTTCTTTTTGTCAAATTTGCTTGGCTGACTCACGCAGCGGGGGACTCACCACTCCCGGAGTTCCTGAGGTGCTGTAGGCTGTAGCTATCTGATGATGTGCTTTTACGACTTCTGAAAGTGCATCTTTTTCGACCTTCTCACCTTTGCAGGATTTTCGTCAAGTGATTCTCACTGTTCATTGCAGTTGCCGCATGCCTTGTGCAGGTACACACGCCTGATGCACTTACCGATGATGAGCCCATGGGATTTGCAACTAGCAGCAAGGGAAGTGCATCAGCTCCGAGGCCCTCAAGCAGCGTCTGCTGCTGCAGCCAAAGCTGCCCAGCAGGCCCATGAGGATGTGCTCTCTGACAGCCTAGACAAAAAGCAGAGACGCCGTGCGAAGCGGCGGGCTTTTGTGAAGAAAAGCATAGAAAAGCAGCGGGTATTTCTTAAGACCCCCTTCACCCGTGTGTGTAAAGAACTTCTTCCTGATGGCTTTTGCGTAGGCGACGAAGCAATCGATTGTCTGCAACAGGCCGCAGAAGCAGCCGTGGAGCAGGCAATGCGCGAGGCATACATAGTCGCCACACATGCAAAGAAGTGCGAACTTTACCCTCGAGACATCCGTGTTTTGAAGAAGTTGAGACCAACGGACGTTTGATTCGCTGGATGGGAGCCTGTCGGGCCCGATGCGCCGCGGGGGCGCAAAGCCTTTGACAGCGATTGAAGGCCAGCGGGTGAAGAAATTGCTGAGCAGCTTTGGGTGATGTTGTTCAAGAGGGTGCTAATTTTGAGGGTTTCGATCGGCCCATTGGCAGGCGAAGGATTGGATGCGGCCGTAGACTTGGCGGATGACGAGGACAGCTGAGTCATCCAATTCCCCAACTCCATGGGTTTCTTGTCTTGCGCCGGAATTTACATGGGACATCTACCGCCAAAGTTGCAGGGATGTCCCAATGTTTTTACAATAAACAGTTTAGTGCTTGACAAAGGAGCCGGCTTTTTCAACAGACTTACAATTACAACGTTTTTCTCGAACCGGCAGGATGGCGGATGGCGGTGCTGGCAAACCTGGATCAGAGCTGCAGAGAGCGGCCGCAAACACAATAGTGGCCGTGGGGCGGGCGTAGCCGGGGTTAAGACCCAATACTGGTCATGGTTGGTAGCCTCAGTGCGGCCGTGGTTGGGAAACCTGGTCTTTAAAGCCTTTTCTCATCTCTATCTTTTCATTTCTGGCACTCTTGGTCGAGGCACCAAAGCCGCTAGAAAATGAGGAGGCACCACCTAAAACCCTAGAACCTTCATTTTCTAGTGAAATTGGTGGGGCTGTCCCTTGGGCACCCTGTCTTTCCATTTCTGGCACTCTGGGTCGAGACACCAAAGCCACTTGATTCGCCGGATCGTGGCGGTGTTTTCGGAGTGTTGTAGTTGTTGTTCAATAAACTTAGCTGTTGTATGCTTTTTGTTTGCTGTTGGGACTCCTCACAGCACGTAGAAGCAGGATGTGCTAGAAAATTGAAAACGCCGGACCAAACCGAAGATGCGCCAAACACGGGCGAAAAGGCTGCGCTTGAAAATTCTGGCAATTCTCTAGTGATATTTTTTTCACTAGAGAATGCCAAACATTGCCTCATGAGGCTGCGTTCCTCATTTCCTAGGGGGCTGACATTCATCATTCCCCAGGAAATCACTAAAGAATGAGCAGGACTGCCCCTTCATGTGATTCTCATGGGGGATGTCTGACCTACATATAGCACGTGAACCTCCCAAGCCAACCTCTTGCAGAACCTCCCAAATCATCACCCACCGCCTGACACAACCCAACTTTTCAGAGTCGTATTGTTTACTCTCGAGCATCAAAGAGGGACCTGAACGGCCGAGGATGCGCTGCGTGGTCTTCTTTGATGTGCTCCCCGAGGGCTTTGGTGACACCTTCGTGGCGCCACACTTGCTCCCAGGCCGGGAACGACCGAAGCTGAGAGAGGTTTGGATCGATATCCCGAGAGGGAAGACAAGCCGGTGAGGAGAGGGGAGGTTTGGATGGGATTATGATTCCCTTTTTGGAATGGAACATGATCCATGTTACACCTAACAAGAGGTGGTTTAAGACTATTGGGCTGGGATAATATATGGTAAAAGGAGTCCACACGGATGTTGTATTTTCGTTATCGAGTGTGATGTTAGGACAATTGATGATATTGGACGTACATACCTACCTTCGAAAACAACACTGAGTTCACTCATGTTGAAGCGATGAAACGGGGAAGGTCAAACATGGAATGCTGAGATTGTAAGTGCCCTGTGTAGGTAATCTCAGCTGCAGATGCCTCTGTTGAACGGGACACGGACAATGCTGATGTCTTGGGATGATGGTTGCATCATGTTCGACACAGTCGAGGATTTTGCAAAGACATGGGAACACGTCAGGAGGCTAGGTACTTCTCACATGCCAGTTATTCTGGGCTTATATGATGGATTTACGGCTGCATTTATTCCTGTATATCGAATGTCTTGTATGCGGTATGCACATATTCCTGATGTGCACGATAGCTTGTGTCTTATATTCTTGTATTATTCCTGTCATTGTGACATTATGGAATCACAGGCTATTGACTTGCTCCGCCACCATCACGAACTAGCTCAGGCACCGACTGCATCATGAACCCCGAGCGGGTGCCAGTGACCGCTGCCTCGAATGAGTGGTGACAGGTTCTCGCTGGTTGGTGATGCTAAGAAAGTGATGCCAGAGTTGCAGAGTTGCTGGTGCTTTTCTCAAGAAACGATCCGATCACCAAAGGCAGACTTTGCCAGAACAGGACACATCGTCAACGACACAGAAGGGACATCAATCAGCCAAGATCAGCCCTTGTCGCAGGAGCTCAATGAACCAACCATTCAATCCCTCCAAATTTGAGAACATTTTACAGTCCCAGCTCCTCTCCCGTCCCCCTTTTCCGGACCATCTTTGCACGGGACATCAGCAGCGGCACAAAGAAAAAGGGCCACTAGACTTGCGCGCGTGTTTGTTGCCAGCGCAAGTCTGGGGGTGTGGAGGGTGGACGGCCGTAGTAAAGTGGATCTGTGACGTGGATCCTCCAACTCGGCAAGGAGTTCTGCCGAACTTGGCTGGTTCTATGGATGCAGACATGAACAAACCGATCTTCAGTCGTTCAAAGATCCAAGGATGAGGGGCACTGCGCGGCATGGCCATGAGTTTTCCGAAGACCAAACAGGTGGTGAACTCACTCACTCCACTAAAAACCATGATGATTTTCTTCGTGTCAGTGCTAAGCGGCTTAGTTCGGCGTGCACACTACGCGCGCCCGTCGCGCCGTGCGACCGTCGGAGACGGTCGTCTCCGTCCCAGGCGAAACACCTGGGGCAGGCGCCCACGGCCTTCCTTCGACAGACCACCGACCAGGCGCGAGTACCGGCTACTTACGCGCCATGGCGCGCGAGTGCCGGACGGCCGCCTGAAGAAGCGAGTGGGGCGAGGAAGAACAGTGAGAGTTTTTTGGGAGCTAGTTTGGCACGATCTGACCTGAAAATCGTCAACATGGTTGACAGCACAACATCACCAGAACCCCAAGAACCATTGCAACTGATTTGAGGTGGAGTCTGCTGTTGCGCTACGTGCTTTTGGGTGAAAGGCACCTGTCGCACAAAAGAAGAGAACGTTCACCACTTGACAATCCGCGTTTCCTGCTACGCAGTTGCTATGTGATGAGCTGCTCGGAAGCGCTTCTTATCCCAAAGACCTCTGGAAGAGGAATGAAGAGACCGGCGAGCCCATTGGGCGAGGGACCCCCCCCCCCCAGTGTGTGGAGGAGACGGGAGACTGGTGACGTTGTAGCTGCTCAGAAAACAGGTGCGACTGGCCTTTTTCGGCTGCTGACCTTCGGAGAACGAAGCAAACCCTCACCCAAACACTGCAATTCAGAAATTCATATGTTGGCGATCAGTGGGGGTGGTTGATATTGGGGTGAATGGGGTGGCATATGGTGGCATATTCCAGTCCCGAGTGTTTAGGTCTGAAGTTTGTTCATGGTCCACCAGTTCATCATCGAGAAGGTGCTAGTCACTAGTCAAGCGCTGGTGTGGGAAAATAGAATACCATTTCGAGCATCCGTGTCCTGCGAAAATCGCTGTTTCACTACAACAAACATCAACCTGCACCACCCTTTTGCGTGTGCCCGGCCAGCATTTTCACACAGTGGACGTGCCATTCTTTGACAAGAAATTGCTCCTAAGTGCAGGTGTCGGACATTCAGCACGATTGTTGATAGATCAACAATTACGGTGAAACAACATGCAAACAGTCCCGATGCTGTTAGGGGTGTCTCAAACGATGTGTTCTTTTGACGATCGAGGGTCATGTTTCACAAAGGAGTCAGTGGATGTGCTTGGAGTTGGATGTGCTTGATCGTCAGCAAGTGTGCAAGACCCAAGGGTGGCCCAGGAGCATCCAGGAGCTATCTAGATAGATATGGGTGGTCCCTGGGTGGTGTATGTTCAATAGGGGAAAAAAGCGTTGAACTTGGACTAGTTTCCATCCGAACAGGGGGTCGAACTTGGAGGTCTCCCTGAAGATGAATTCCCATATGATCCGTTTTACTCCCAGCTCTTCGGGTGAATTCATCTTCAAGCACCGAAGCTCTCTGCGCAGACGCTGACGCCCAAGCCAGTGCCCCACTACGAGGTGGTCGTGCTGCAAAAGCTGCTTGGCCAAGCACTTGGGGAACATGGGTTTCGCCTTGAATGCCGCGGCGGCCTGGAATTTTTGTATAGTAGACTGTCGTTCACAGGCCGGTGCGCGCGGGATTTCAAGGAGGTCGGCCTGCTTCGGGCCATTGAAGCTGCAGAAGCCTCAAGGGCACCCAGGTTTTTGATGGTTTTTGGAGCTCCCACGTAGGGATAATTTTCTGAGGAATAGATCCTTTTTGGAGGTTATTTTGAGGGTTCCACGTCTGGACTTCCAGGCAATCAGGCAACATTCAGGCTTCAAAAAGGTAATTGTTCGAAGACTTTTGGGTCGTCAGGATCCGCCAAGTGATCCGGCGCGCCCTCTCGCCACCACTCGAAGCTTCGTGTGGGTTTTTTTTCCGCTGCTCAGGGCGTGGAAGCTTCGCCCGGGCAACCGGAACTTGCTAGAGGCGAGGCACGGTCAAGAGCTCAGCTTTTATCTGAACCGTCATGGGCAGCAACACCAGCGGGATGCCGGTGATGCCACCCAGATCATCCAGCCGAAGCTACGACACTGTCCGGTGATGTGTTCGACACTGTCGTACTTGTAGCCCTACGGCTTGGGAAGAGTTCTTCTGGCTCGTGAGGGCTTGACGAGTTCGGGTCGAAGATATGGCAGTGAACAGCTCCCCATTCGGCAACATGCAACTCGGAGCGAATCTTCCCGTTCCCCAAGCTCTTGGGAAGAACACCCTACCCAGTCAGTGGATGACCTTCAGCATCCTTGAACTTTTTTGGAAGCATTTTCTCCATTGAAATCCAACAGGTTAACCAGGGATACTGAGCGGGTCAGACACAGTCTGTGGTGGACACGTGCGACCCCCGAAAAGGATCAACACGTTCGGTGATACCGCATCCTATAGAAGCCTAAAGCACGTGACCATGCAATGATTCATTGTAGCAGGAGTGTAGCTGATCATAACATTTCACGAGAATCAATGCATAAACCATGCAACAAAACATCACACTAACCGTCACCAACCTACATGTATAGCTCATATAGCTGGTTAAGTAGCTGCGGATATAGCTTCGCTTCGCTCATCGATGTTTCTCCCATTTCTGCCAGGCTTTGGCCCTGCTGATGCATGCCTTGAGGAAGCACTCCAGGTGCGCCAACAGGAGTCCCTGGGAAATCCTTGGGAAAACCGGACTGAAGCGATCTGAGGGCTTTGGGATTCCCAGGTTCATCGACCAAATAGATCGAGTTCTTTCTTTTTCACCGGTTGGACAGTTCCGGCAACCGCAGCATCCGCGTTTTGACCTTCCCCTAAAAGGTTCCCATTTGGATCAATCTCGTTGAGAAGAGCATTTTCTGGCAATCTTTTTGACACACTGTGCATCGCCACATCGCATCACAGGTCCTACAACAGCTTTCCGCAGGCAGGGCCACGTCCGGAAGCGCGGGTTGCGGGAGATGTTTCGGACACCTTCTGGGGGTTCTTGGCCTATTTGGAAGACTCCGACGGTCAGCCTCGCGCTTGATCATCACCACCATCCGGTCAGCCGTTGCGCGCGGCCGCCTGGGGCAGGTATCGGTGATGGGTCCCAAAGTTGACTGTCGACCAAATTGCTGCGGTTTCACTTCCTAGTAGCGTCCTTGCTCCTAGTAGCTATGCCCTTTGCTACTAGTGGACACCCCCAAGTTGCAGTTTTCGAAACACAACGTCTCAGGGTGGATTCACCCGAGTGTCAACAGAGTTTCCTCCTCCCCTCACGCGAACCAACGCACGACGCAGCACCGCACGTCGCGGCCTGCAGTCGCTGCGCAACGTGCTGGAGGGAGGCTCGAATCCTTGGTTGTTGGAATCTCAGTCAACCGTCTAAGCGAGGGGTGAACATGACATGGGTGAACAACCGGTCGAGTGGTGGGCCTGTGAAGATCGTTGAGAGCCCAATGTTGGGTGATTCATGGTGATTCCCTATAGGGCTCCAGGAGGTTACTTCCTCGGTATTTGGGACCCTCCTGGAACCCACCCCCAACACCTTCTTAGAATACGACTGGAGCCCGTACAGGATTGTGAAGATCTCACTCACTCTTCGCCCTCCTTTTTCGCGCGCCATTTTGCAGCGCACCATCCAATGCATGTTAAGCGAACTGACGCCCGAGCTACTCCTGGCCTCGTGGGTCTTTAGAACTGGAGGCCCGTCCAAGCTACTCCAGAAGGGGTTGGATGGAAAAAGGATGAAACAAAGGGGTGTCCATGGTCACCACCCTTTTCACTCACTCCACTCACTGGCGATAAGTCGATCTGTGCATAGGGCTGCTCACAGATCGATGAGTTGAACCTCACAGGACTTAGACTGAGCTGGAGAGCAGCGATCGAGCTCGGCTCAGCGGGAATCGGTGGGGGTTCTGGACCAATGCCACAGCAAAACCTGAGGTCCAGCTTCCAAAATCTTTACCATCGCTTCTTCTGAATGCCGCGCGCCTTATGGCCTTGCCTTCAAGGGGTGGACGTCCACCCGGACAGATGACCTGAGAGGGCTTGAGAGGAAGTAGCACAGAAAGGATCCAGTTGGAAACTGAATCGAAACAAACATGAGACGTACCTTGGCAGAACATGTTCATCTATTTTCTGGGAATGGATGAAGAGTCGTGAGTTTACTTTCGTAGCACCATGAGACGCACCTTCTTCTCGCCGTTTCACTTCCACTTAAACCGATTTTGTGAGTGCTGCCGTCGATTCAGACGCGTCAGTGAAAAGGAGTTCGTTTGGATTGGTGGAGTTGCTTGATGTTTGTTGCGCCTTCCGAGACTGACCATTCACGAAAGATCCTTTCCGTTTTTTTTCCATAGCTCTGTAGCTCCGTCGATCCTTTCCGTCGCTGGGCATAGATGATGGTCCGACCACAGAGACCGTGCGTCCCGCCGCCCCACTGGGACCCATCGTGGTTGACGGAGGCACCCCATTTCTGAATGGACTCGAACGACACACCCAGCATTTGTGGGTGAAAAGTAGCGAGTGGAGAAGCTGGCAGCTGCAGGACATATAGATGGTGGTGGGTGAAATAACTGTGCACACCGAACCATCTCAAATCCATGAAACCTGTTCATGTTTGGAATGCTCACACAGGGTCTTGACCTGTTTAGCCAATGAGAGAGGTGTGGGTCGTGCAAGGCGAAGGAACAGAGTATCACACCTGAAGCGGCTGCAGCAGATGCAATGTACATGATGTCATTGCGCAGCTATATTCCGTTCCTCACCAATACGGATCCACAAATCAGACGACATCCGAACACTTTCGAAGTGTGAGAGTCCATGTCGTTTAAAATCGATCCAACTCGACCGACTTGTTGTTACTAGGTCACTCGACCAGGCCCATCATGCCTGTAGCCTAGGCCGCCGGCCCTTTTTGAGGAGATGTGACATGTGACATCTTCCACCCGGACGAGTGGGGTGGTAGACATGGACACCCCAAACGCATCACAGCTGTTTGGGGCCTGGCTAGACACCCCTACGGTGTAGGCAGCTGAGCCGAACGCGATCCGATGTGACGGAGCGAAACGCGGCTGGCCGCTGCAGCCTTACAACAAGGCATACTGCAAAGGTCGTTAATCAATGTTCATCCTATAATATTATAATATATATATCTTACTGTTTGTTTAAGTTGTTTTAAATTTAAAGTCCAATCCGGAACCTTGGTACTTTTGAGTTTGTCCTTGTGACATCTCATAGAAGTCCCTAATCAAACCCCAAAACAGTTTCAACAAACTTTACAGGCATCAGAGGTTCACCCTTCCAACTGGCTACCGCTTGACCTATCTTTAGTGACACCCAGTCCTAAAACCTCAAAAAGTCCAAACCCAAACATGCTTAGCGTTCAAAACTTGAGCTTTGTCCCAAGCCAATCCAAAAACCGAGCGAATTTGTCCCGAGTTTCTCCAAAAAAATGGAGCCAGTTTTTCCCAAAGACCGAGCCAGTCTTTCCCTAAAACCGAGCCAGTTCCAGTTTTTTCCAAATGGAGCCTGTTTTATCCAAAAACGGAGATTATTTTTCCAGAAAACGGAGCTTGACAAAATCGGTGGCAGATTTTTCCAAAGTCTGTGGCAGATTTTTCCCACAGTTTGTGGGATTTTCTAAACATGGTGACGGATTTCCCCAAAGTCGGTGGCAGATATTCCCAAAGTCGGTCACGGATTTCCTCATAATCGGTGGCGCATTTCTTAAAGATGGAACCAGGTTTTATCCATATAGCCTTTCTGCACAACAGAGGCAGTTTTCCTAATTTCTGCGGCGAGGTGATGCTTCTGACCAAGCCAACTGTCCTTATTATGGTTTTACCACCATCGGCGCTTTCCCCAACGACCTTAAACCCAATTTTGAATACATCAACCTCCTCTTGTTTCAAACAGGATAGTAAAATTTGCTCTTTGTCATGCTTGCTTACATTGCACCTCCCTTTCAAGCTCGTGAAAGTTGATACATTGAGTGTCAACCATGTTTTCGTCACCTCTGTCCTAGAAAAGTTTAAGGGTAGGAACATTCCTTTTCGAAGCCATGGCTTGCCAACGTGTTATTTGCTATTGCGATTGTTGTGCTGTGCTTCTTGCACCTGCCCATCAACGGCTCGCAAACTCTAGCAGTACGAGGCGGCAGAGAAGCTACTAGAGCAAGCCTTAAAAAGTTGATGGTGCCAGAAAAAAAAGACAAAGCTGCGTGAGAAGGGCTTGAACGTGTCAGGGCCAAAAGCAGACCTTGTGGAGCGATGGGTGGAAGCGCTGGGTGGGCCATGTGCCAAATTCCAAAAGCAGAGAAACACACAAGCTTATTAGAAGGAAAAATTAGAAGGGTTTCATTGTGTTTCATTGTTGCTTTTTTAGTTTCTGCTTTGGATGAACACATTCTTGTGCTGTCGTTGTCGAACCCGCACACTTTGACAAGAATGTGTTCATCTCTTTGGACGAAACGATTCGAAAGCTTAAAGCTTTGTTGCAAGAGGAGAGGGTTGTATTTTCTACATGCTGGTGTGGCTAGCGGCAAGTCTACGTTAGCGCAATATCTTTGCCAGCAGCAGCCGTCCAAGTACTTGCAAGTTTATCATTCTGCTTTTGATAGTTTGACCTTTCAGCACTGGCAGACAAAGTTCAAGGCAGCTTTGGAGAAGGAGCCTTCCGCTCCTGATGTAGCGAAGGGTTTATCTTTATTGTTGTCTGTCGTTATATTTATATATTGTGCTTTACTTGTTTGGGGGCGCTTTTTGTTTTCTTGTTTTGTTTTGGTTGTTTTGTTTTTGGTATGGAATGGATGAGGTGTGTGATATATTTACTGTTATTTTTTGATGAAATGGATGAGGTTGTGAGATTGTAGGTAGTGATGGTTTTGGGAAATGAATGAGATGATGATATAGTTAGTACTGATATTTTTGACTGTTATGATTTTAGTGAAATGGACTAGATAACTATATATGTTTTGACTGCTATGATTTCGAACATGGATGAGGTATGATTTTAAAAATGAATGAGGTAACTATGTTTTGACTGCTATGATTTTTGACAATTGAATGAGGTAATTTTGTTTTGATGTTGTTGAGAAAATAAAGCACTCAACAATATTAAGCATTACTTTTTAGACTGTTATGTTTTTGTATGAATAGAATTTGAACTGTTATACTGCTATGATATGAGCTTAGAAAACTTCTTGCAATCAATTTCCCCCACTCTCCGAAACTCAGAGTCTCTATCTTTTCAAATACACACATGTCCAGCCCGGATGGCCAGAACAACACCTGGGCAACAGGTAAAACATGGTACAAAGACGACCCACGATGAGAACGTTGGAATTTCCGCGAATCGCCCAACGACAAACACTTCGACTAAAAACGACTGTACACGGACTCTCCTCCTAGTAAGAAGTGCATCGCTACGTTTGTAAGAAGGGCATTACTATACTACAGTACCATTCATTGAACATTACTATGCTACTAGCATTGTTACTAGTCACTTACTACTAGTCACATTATGACATTAATTGTTTTGATGTTATTCCTCGCGCGGACTTCTTCATGACGCCTCCGGAGCTGCATCGAGCACGCAGTGCTCAAACGGAGCAGAGCCAGTCACGGCCTCGGTCGGCGAGTCAAAGCTGGTCGAGTGAGTGGAGTCACCGGAGGTGGGGTTCACCACTGGTGGTTTGGTGGGGTGGTGGGATTCAGGTTGAGTATGCTGAGTGAGAGCAATTCGCGCCATGAATGTCTGAGATTGGATCAGGTCGAGATTTCGCCACATGCCCGGAGAAGTTCCGAAAGTAATCAGTTATAAGTCCCTCCCATGTTTGAATACCTGTTCAATTTTTCCATCGATTCCCGGAGGGTGAAATAGCATCAACAGTGACGAACATCGCGAGTCGTTGGGCCTTTTGATGCAAAGTGGGTGCTGCGAGTCGTGGAAGCACCAAGTCGTTGGTTTGCCTCTTTGAGAGGATCGCTGGATCCACCACCTGGCCGAGAAGTTGCAGAAAGTTCTTGCGCCAGCATGCACCCTTTATACTCTCCAATCCCAATAGATTCGAACGCAGAACTCTGAGCTTTGGTGTAAGTGATGAAGCCGGCCGCTGGGTAGAGTGTTCTTTCTGGGTCGGAACGCCTGGGAGGTCTTCCGGGGCACACCCGGCACCCGGTTCGGACGTGCGAAACGCACCCGGTTCGACCGTGGTCTTTAAGGTATTCCTTTGAGGATGATGAGCTGGACTGGGAGGAGGCCAGGCCTGCTCGCGCTTTCGGCCTACATCGCACCTCGCCATGACTGCTTGACACATCGGGGATTATGGGATGGACCTATAGACTTCCAGTTCGGAGATCTATGGAGATCCTATCAGTTCGGTTAAACCGGCGCGCGTGGACAAGGCGCCCTTGTTTGGCCTCTCTTGGAGACATCGCTTTTCCCTGCCACGTGGACGTCGTTCGTTCCAGGGAGTGTGTTGAAGAGGCGAACGAATGGACTTCCCTTGGCCAGCTGAAGTCGTTCCAGAGGTAGCCAGTGACCGTAAATGGGACACTACAGGGGTACCGAACTGGGATAGCCGAACTAGGGTCTTTCAACCTCTGTTGGTAGCTGGACTCGGCCAGATTCCAATGGCCGTTATTTGTCATTCTCGCGGTGGATGCGAACCGACAAACAGAACGAAGGTCAAGAAAGAAAGGAGTCCTGATCGCATAAGACGTGGAATGGCCCTTTGGAATTTTGTGTGACGTTCCTTTTGATCATTTTTTTGTGTGGAATGGTCCTTTTGCTGAACACTTCAAGCATCGTAAATCGAAAAGACCCTAAGTTCGTATATATAGTTTTCCCTGTGAATCTGCATTGTTGGATCGGAACGGTTCAGACTCCCTGTCAGACAGAGCCATCTCCCATCACTCGAGCGAGGAAGCCTTTGAGACTCGGTGTTCAGTCTCCCCTTGTTTCCGGGGCCATTTCAGGGGTCAAGAATGTGTGTTGAGCACGTACCGGACCGGGATGGTTTTTCTGACGTTTGTTAAGCCTCTTTCTTAGCGGGAGCGAAAGAAAGAGGCTTAAGGGGTCACATGTGGCATCAGTTCGACAGATCGACCCTAGGATTCGCCAACCATTGGTTGGTTTTGGGAAACGCAACAACCATCGTTTTAAGAAGTTTGTACAACACCAGGTCTCGTTTTCGGTCAGTCGAAATCTTTTCATGGTTTCGTTTTCATGAGTCGGACAGAGGGTGGATCCTCCCTGCGCACGCAGAGGTGCACACCAGGCTTGGCCCAAAATCGATGGACTGCGACTCTCCGTCATCCGTCGAGGGGCAGTTTTGCACAGCCCCAATGCGCAGGAGGACAAGGTGGTGGAAGAACGAGGAGCTGCTCGGTGACGGGGAAGATGGTCTTGCCGTTCTTGAGAAAGACACCATATATATCCCTAGGGATCCACATATACCTTCATAAGGTACTTGGGCCCTACTTGGGCCTGCATTAATAGCATCCAATCACCTTTTGACAAGGTACTTGGATCTCCACATCATATAGGAAAGCTATAGAAGGCTACAACATTCACAACTGGTGATGGCAGAACTATATAGACAACGGACACTTGCAGGATGTCTACACTACGGACACCTGCCAAACAAAAGAAGACTCTCCTGGAGAAAGTGCAACGACGGCACAGAAGAGTTCAACAAATACATGCTTTATACACGCGTGTACAGTTCTATAAACACATTTAGCTTACATACAGGCATGACTTAGTCATGACTTTCCTAATCCTGCTTGGAAGCTTGGGAGCATGCTTCAGACCAAGGATGTATGACAAAGGCTAAGGTGTTTAGTGGATACAGCCTGTTGTTGACAGAATGTCCAACTCCAGTGCCACAGATTGGCTCAAGCGATGCTGAGATCTGCAAGGTGTTGTCTCCAAGATCCACATCGCCTTCGTTTTTGGGAAGGCCCCCCCCCAAAAGGTATGAATCAAATAATATGAATCACTTGAAACTTGGATTCGGACCGCATGCAAACCCGCCAGCCAAACAGCCCCTCAGATGTACTTCGTCCGTCCCCGTCCCCGTTCGCCCGTACTCGCTGCGTCACGCTTCGGTTCGGTCCGTCGGGTGCGACACGCCGAAGCCGCCGCCGCAAGCCGACGACACGTGTAATCACGCTGTAGCTTTCTGCAAAAAGCGCTTTCTGCAAGCATCGTCTTGGCATCGGTGTTGGTTTCCCATACATGACACCAAGCACCAGCCATACAAACAGCCACGCCTCAATCGCCCAAAAACGTGGCCGTTTGAAAGCGTGGCAATCGCCACAGCCACCAACGAGGCCAGCCTCAGCAACCAACATTCTGTCCAACGAAGCCTCTGGTTCTTGGCCAATTGGGTGTCAGGAGCTTGGTACCTCTTCGAGACACCCAACGCCTTGGAGCTCGAACGGCAACGGCTCGTGGCTGAAGCCTGTGAGTGCACAGGCCGCGCCGCTAGCGGCGCGCGCGCGCCCTGCGCGGACCGGTAATGAAAGTACCAGAAACCGAGTCCTGAAATCGGTGAAGGAGCTCATTTCACTGGGTGTCATGCAAAAACAGTGGTCCATGAGGTCAAGGACCAGGTTTCATTGGTACACTGGTATACGGATTAATAAATATAGCTTTCACATGCCTTCACCTATTACTGAGGGTTGACGTTTTTGTTGAACTTCCCGGACTCACATGCTGGCCCGGGCTAGGGCAGCTGTATAGGTTTCTCATGGTTTCTCTTACTGTTTGTTCTAGATTAGGGTTTGGGCCTTCTTCGAGCGCCCCACAGCTTTGTCTCCTCAGCATCGATCAAGAGTTGGATGCGGACGACTGCTGACTGCAACACTCAGATGGTGAGTTTTTATCCTGCTTTTAAAAGCAGGATTCTAGATGATACCACCAACCTCTCGTTCAACCTTCTGGTCGATCACCGGTCAAACACCCCTCACGTTCAGATGCATATGGACCGTAGTTTCTTCAGGTCCGGTCTCCCGGTCTCCCGGTCGCCACGACTTTTTGTCCACTGCCACCGGTCTTCGAACCGTCGACCCGAGTCGAGGCATCTCCCAGGACGAGGGCAGCTTGCTGCTGAGGAGCTGCGGCTGGGATGTGGCGACCTTTCACGAGGCGTTTGGGGAGCGTTTTGGACAGGTTTTTTCGGGTTTGGACGGATGCTGAAGGTGTTGACGATGCAGATGGTCAGTGGCTGAAAAGTAGAATGATCATTGTGCCTGGAACGGGGTCAGTGGGTGGGGGGCAAAATCTTAGCTGCAAGAAAGATATATATATTGATATAGTTGTATGATATATACAATATATTAATATACAGTTTTTATACAAATAATGCTAATTAGATTGTGGAGCTATGTTCAATGTGATAGACATCGGTGTGCATAGGATTAGGATTGCGGGCCGCAAGAAGGCACGCGTCCCTTTGTTGCACAGCATTGGGTGGGGATGAAGCTGTATTGGTCATTTTCATGAACAACCCAATTGGCAAACACGAGTGATACCCACCATATAGTCCACAAAAAAGCATCATCCTTATTAAAAGATATACCTCAAGGATCCTTAAGGTATATGAGTCCACTATAGCCAATTCCCTGAAGATTCCCCACACTCCCAGCAACAGATCCACGAACATTCGCAGCGCTCAAAAAAGAAAAGACGAACAGGACAGTTCCATAGAGTTTTGGGGTGGTATTTTTTGTTTCACCCATGCAGGCATGAGTGAATCTCCTAGAGGCACCCCGCCTCTAAAAAACAACACCAAACACCACGGGATCTTCAGGTTCTTTTTGCATCCTACAGATTTTGGCCGCTGAAAAGAACCAATGTTTAGAATCTTTCAGTGGAATCCTTCAGAATCCAAACCAGTCGGTTTTTCTGCGGTTGTTCCCAATTCTTAGACTCCGGGTGAGGCCTTCTTCGAAGATGCTTCAGCTCTGAGACATCGTGTGGGGGTTGGAGAGGCCATTTGGAAGTCGGTTTTGAGAGGAGAGCGGGGGGGTTTGCAGAAGGAACCAATATCAAGGTTGGACAAACAGATGAATTCAAGAAAGGTTGCAAGGCTCAGAACCTCTTTTTTCCCCAATAGCCATGCTATGGGGTCTTGCAAAACTAATAGGCGGACGGGCGCCGTCGGGTCACCGTCAGAGCTGGTGGGCGGATGGCGTCCCGGTCATGTTTTGATGGCGTCCGGGTCATGTGATGCTGGTGTCCCGGTCATGTTTTGATGGTGTCCCGATCATGTTTTGATTGTGACCCAGTCATGTTGTGATGGTGTCCTGGTCCTGTTTTGATGGTGTCCCGGTCATGTTTTGATGGTGTCCCGGTCATGTTGTGATGGTGTCCCGGTCATGTTTTGAAGGTGTCCCGGTCATGTTGTGATGGTGTCCCGGTCATGTTGTGATGGTGTCCCGGGCATGTTTTGATGGTGTCCCCCGGTCGTGTTGTGACGGTGTCCCGGTCATGTTTTGATGGTGTCCCGATCATGTGATGGTGGCGCGGTCATGTTGTGATGGTGTCCCGATCATGTTTTGATTGTGTCCCAGTCATGTTGTGATGGTGTCCCGGTCGTGTTTTGATGGTGTCCCAGTCATGTTTTGATGGTGTAGCGGTCATGTTGTGATGGTGTCCCGGTCATGTTTTGATGGTGTCCCGGTCATGTGATGGTGGCGCGGTCATGTTGTGATGGTGTCCCGATCATGTTTTGATTGTGTCCCAGTCATGTTGTGATGGTGTCCCGGTCCTGTTTTGATGGTGTCCCGGTCATGTTGTGATGGTGTCCCGGTCGTGTTGTGACGGTGTCCCGGTCATGTTTTGATGGTGTCCCGGTCCTGTTGTGATGGTGTCCTGGTCATGTTTTGGCGGTGTGCCGGTTATGT